AGATGTACAGTTTAAAAAAGGATGACGTTGATGATAAAGAGAATCAGACGTACAAGAGACCGATCTAATCCTCGTTTGGTCCCAGGACATCTCTTCTTTAAGGGACGGAAGGAATAGAGGCCCTGGGAACAAGAGTTACCTGAACTGTGCTATCTTAGCACCTGAAAGCTTTACCCTTAAGACCACTGGCTCGCTTTAGGTATCTCGTCAGTCACTTTCTTCAACCAAACAGCTACGTTAATAAGAACTGTAATATACAAACACCAAAAGTTACTCTTTATTTTCACACGCTGATTGAGCGCGCAGGTTATGAAAGAAGTCTATAACACACAACGTAAAAGCGAAAAAGATGCTTTTCACAGTGAACTAAAAAATCTTGAAAGAATAAAAAAGATTAAATATAAGAAAACGTACACAAAAATGTTTTTTTTTGTTTTTTTTTCTTAAGAAAATGCTGTTTTGTTTTTGTTTCTTTGTGGTCGAAAGCGAGAGCTTATCAACATTTTCGCTTAAAATCACTCCTAAGTTCGTAAGATTAACTCAGCGACAATGAAAGTCACATTTATAAAATGCTTAGTTTTGGGACAAGCATTTTTTGAAAGCAGGCGATTTCTTCACCCAGCGGCAAGAATTGCCGCTCTTATTTTTCTCACAAAAGGAGTGTTTTTTCTTGCAAAAGGTCATATTCCAATCAGAATCCGGCACATTGCACCCGTCAATAATCATATCATCACATGTCTCGGGTCCCAAGCATTTGTCGACTCGACAGTCGCAGTTTCGCCCGTACAGCCTCTTGAGCCCGCGGCGCTGTTGACGAGTGATATCTTCCCACAGCTGGTGCCAATGGCAGAGACCAAATCTTAACTTGTTTTCCCTGTCCAGGTAACCAAGCAGAAGATAGGTTTTTGAGCGTCGGAGATATGTACCACAAAACACCGGGCTGTTCAGACCAGTGTAGGCAAGAACCATTCGAGTTCCATTAGAGCGGCTTATTTCAGAAGCTCCCTTGAAAAATTTTAGTATTTTCAGTTTGTAAATTCTGCTGTTGTCATCCACGGTCTCATTCAAAACCTTGGCTTTGATGGCTGTTCAGGGAAAACAGAGAATATATTAAGTCACAAAATTTGAACTGATATTTTGAGCGGGAAATCGGGATCAGTGTCCCACTCGTTAAGCCAATCAGAACGCAGGATTCGCTTGCTGGCTTCCTTTGCGGAGTCAGCCATGTTGTAAGTCTTGCCAAGTTACTTTGGCTGGCGAGAATGTTTGCTTGTGGTTTTTGCCGATTCACTGTAACATCCCTAACATAGCAAAAAGAGATAAGCTTCCTTTTTCCTCGCCGTAAAAGTAGAGCGCAAGACGTCTTGGAAAGGACGCGTAACATCCTAATTCACTCCGCGCACCTCGTAAAAGGGAGAAAGCTAAAAGTCTGGGAAACATGCAAACACCAGAATATAAAATTCCCAGCTGTCAGCACGCACGCTTGAGAGCTTTTTCACGCCATTGTAGAATTATACTAATAACCGTGACATTTCCCTTATGTTCGTGACCTTGGCTGCCTATAAGAAATTAAAGGCCTCTGTTATTGCTGGCAACTATCATCGATAACACGCAGCAAGTAATACTTTTGTCAACAAAAGACAGTGCATAGTAGCAGCAAAAGTGGCGACAGTGCCTGTTTGAGACTATTTCTTTGGAACAAAATCTCTGAGCAACTGAAAAAACCCGGGGGGGGGGTACTCCCTTATATAAGCTATATAGGTATGTGCCGCCCCACCGGGTAGTGTTTTTGCGCCGTTTTGGTCTGAAAACGGGTATACACTTTGCCCATTTTGGTTTGGAAGCGGGTGATAGTGTTCGGGGGAACTATGGGAGTGCATGAAGGTGTTTATCGTTTCAATTCCAAATGAGTAAGAAAGAAAGAAAAATATGCGAATTCGAAGTGGATCTGATGAATTTGTTTGTTTGCGCTCTAATCTAAGTAATGAGAACATAATTTCTGCCTAAAGGCCAGGTCTGAAAAACGGGTACGGATTTCAGAGGACTGGTCTGAAAACGGGTACGGAAAATTACATTTTTTGGAGGACCCGGCGGCACACCCCCACCAAGAAATCCCAGGAGTTCCCCCCCGCCCCGGGAAAAAAAACTAATAATAATACAATCTATGTGCGGAAACAATATTTGATAATCTCGGTTCTGATTACCTCTTTCCTGCCTTTTGTGGCTCTTGTTTCACCCACTGGTCACTGATAAGAAGCGCATTTGTTAATGTAATTTTTACCCAATTTCTCTATCTCTCCGAATTTAAACCAGTAGTTGCGTAGTTTTCAGAGTTTTCTTTTGACTCTTGCGCATATTTCCGCTACAGCTCATAAAGCTTTCTTACAATGATGATGGTATTTGAAAGCGACTCCTGCATGCTGACTTGTATAAATCAAACTTAACTCGGTCATCTCTTGATTATTAGCCGGGTTTTTGCATACAGTCCACTTTTTCAGCAGGCAAACTGTTGATTTTTAAACTGTTTTTCGTTACATTAAAAAATTTGAAACCATGTCGCGGATCCGCTAAAGAATGCACCCTAGCTGTATGATTGCTAGGGAAATGGAGAACACACTTTTTCCTCTGAATCCTGTGTGGCTTTTAATCGCCTTCCTTTTCGCATACAACCTTGCTCAAAAAACGCATCAAAAATAGGACAAATTCCACGTAACCGAAGTTATTTCCTGTGGTGCTGTTTCTGGCTGTAAAAGGTGATTCTTTCTCGCTCTTTTTTTCCCCGAATGAAAGCTACTGAGCATTAATTTCCCCATCTGGCTTACTCTTTATTATGCTCTGAAAGGTGGTTCTAATTCAGAGTTTGATAATAAAGGTCTATAAAAACTGATCCGAAGATTCAAATTCAAGGTGATGTTGATTATCTGTTCTGCTCTACAAGGCCAGTCAATTGAAACATTTGGCGGTTGCCCAACTTAAGCAACTTCATCATATTAAAGTAGTGCTCAGTTTCTCATACCGGAAAGCAACAGTTTAGTATTTAGTTGCTTTCTTTCTTCGGATAAGTAACTTTTGGGTAAGCGACAAAGTAAATAAAACCGCGACGGAACTGATCAATCTGGGGACCGGAAAAAATGTTTCCCTCGTGAAGACCGACTGTTGAAAGAGGAAATTTTAACCCTTTTGGAGCTAATTACGAAATTAAGAAAATACCATGCCAATTCTGTAGCGTACCTAGCCTGCGAGCAGCAGACGCATTTCCTGTCGTCGCTTCTCTCCCTCCGAAAAATAGGGTCTGCGAATCCCGAGCGGCAAAACGATTTCCGTGACGTAAAACCTTTTGTTTTGATGCTATTTTCGGCGGGAGAGAAGCGACGACCGGAAATGCGTCTGCTGTTCGCAGGCTGTAGGGTACCATGAGGGAACTCAACCGTTTTCTTTGACCTACGATTTCATCATAAAGATTGTAATTGTGTAAAATACTGTACACGGAGCGAAAGGCAAAAATGTTTCTGAAAAGGCTTGCGGAAACGTTTTTACATCATAGAATATTTTCCGTAGGCTCGAACAAGGCTGTTACGTGTCTCCGAAGCCGACTCTGATCTTACAGTGAAAGACGAAATTTTAGAAGAAGACCGTTTGTTCATACAAATCGGCAAAGTTGTTATGGGATTTTTTCGGAATTCGTTGTTGAAGGAAACAAAACATTCGTGCCAAACAATGTACCGACAAGACAGGAGACAGATTTCCTCGTTTGATGCTCATACTACTGTAGCTGCGTCTTTTTCCATGCGCCTGAGTGTATAGTTGGCATTCCTACCTTGAAACATCTGGTGCCTCAATTGTACAATGCAGTCACAGTCCAATTTCATACAATACAGTATTTCATTCACATTTCCAAACATGCTAAAAAGTTACTTTAACATATACTTCGTTACAGAATTCAGAAAGTTGCAGACAAAATCATGTCAGACTGCTAGGAAGGAAATGCCTAGTGTCTAAAATACCCGCCCCTCGATATTAGTTCAATGACGCCTTTTACAAATTGTTCGACCTCATTACTAAAGTTGTTTCTCGTTATTTTGTTCACCGAATCTTTCTAAAGCGGACCATTTTACAGATGGTCATGATAGTAGCGAACGTTGGAATGTATCCATTCCAGATTAACCTGATGCCGGGAAACCTGACTAATACGATCGCGCGCTCTCTATTCAGCATGATGAAACTGAACCCCAGCCATCTCGAACACTAGCCTTCCTCAACTGCGGACAAAGACTGAGACAAGAAGGAGAACTTTTATCGGGTTCGAACCTACCGACCGAGTAAAACCGGAAAAACTGGTTTGTTAGCTTACGTATATGACTATGTTCGGTAACCTCAGTCTTAAATGACAAACAAATGTTGGAATTATCAATAGGTCATCAAAATTGACCCAAGTATTATCAATTAGAATTGTTCGGTATGTTTTGACTTCCCTAGCTGCTTGAACAAGTCACGTGACCGAACAACTGTTGTTGTATTTGGGACCATCTGAGATCCTTACTATCCTACATTCCCTGGGACTGCGTTTTCTTCGATGATAACAGTAATCAAAACTAGGCTTGTTGGAAAGACCTACTATCCTAGACCCCCTACACCACGCTACTTGTCGTTAATTGGTCAGGGAAAGTTGTTATATTTAAAGCATTTTTCCGTCAAATTCTCCCGGCAGACGCTGTTTGAAGCTAGGGAACTGTATTCATCATGAATTCAAAGATAAATGTGAGAAAAATCAGCTCGATCGCGTATATCAGAGCTTTTCTGCAGTTTGCAGATTGCACCTCTAAGTAATGCTCTTGAAATAAAAGAAAGACGAGTCAGCAAGTCTTACAAGAAAGAAAGCTTCAGATTTATTGAAAGACCAGAACGAAAAACACATTTTTACGTTAACTTTAACCTTTTTAGGACAGTTAACTGGTTATGTTTCACCAAATCCACTTCGATTTTAAAATTATGCAAAGGGTGTGTGGTTTTTTTCCTATGAAACTAGCAGTCCTAATGACTGAATTTCATCTCGTCAAACTAGTTAAATTGAAAAACTATTACCTCGAGCAACCAAACAAAAGCAGCTAATATCATGTATAGCTAATATTACATGTACTGTCCTTAACTCTTTTTACGTCGTCATAAACGTACGATAAGTATAAACTCTTGAAATATTGGCAGTAAAACCACTCATTGATGTAATATAATACGACCATTCCTAAACTCAAAGACTTTCTAGATGTACTAAGAAAGTAATTCATGATTCTTTCCCAGCATGAAATCCAGCCCTGCTCCACATAGTGTTCCACTGTTAATACTCAGTGTTATCATGAGAAATTGCCTCCGCGGTGTCGTCTGTGTATGTAGAAGACTCTAATCTGTTTTGAAATTTTTTGTCCCTTGAAAAGTCATACTTTAGTAGGAAGTTCCTGGACATAGTTTTATAAATGCTTAAAACTACTTTTTTTCAAGTGCTTCGTCATATATAAACAAAAACAAAAAAGCTCGTGCAAAGTAAAAGTAGTGAAGAGATATTTTTAGTCTCTGTGGGTCGCTATCTAATCTACACACTTTGTAAACAGAATAATTCAGTGCAATCTAATTTTTCTGTCAGTAAAATATGTTTCGTTCCAAGGTAGAACATACTCGTTCTCATCTTTTGTCTAAAAGGTCAGATACGTATACTGGTTTCTTTTTGAAGGTTCGATCCATGTCTTATTCCTAAGGGATAACTAATTCATTCATGCATTTGTTGTACTCTTCTGTTTCACGCCATGCGCATGCGCTTTTTTCGGCGTTTACTAGACAATAGGAATGTCTCCATTCACAGTCACTGTCATAGAAATTGCCTGACTTGCGACATCCCTGTAGCTTCTTACAGCTTTCTGCGTAACACGGTGAGATCTGACAGTCGCAATTATCACCATAAAAGCGTCGTATTCCCATACGCTGCCGAGGGGTGACATCAGCCCATCTTTGGACCCACTTGCACTTACCAATCCGGAGTTTTTGTCCCGAAATGGTACCGGTCAACAGGTAGACAGTGTCGTTTGCCAGCTTAATCCCACACTTTTTTTCTCCAACAGAAGTGTAAGCCTTGGTAAACAAGCTACGTTGCTTGGATCCATGAGGGCGAATGTCCTTTGTTTGATTCAGGCCAACTGCTCCTTTATACGTTTTTAGGATCCTTAGATTGTAGACACGTTTGTCATAGTACTCCCCTGGTACCACTTCCTGGGACAATACTTTGGCGCGAATCACTAAACATGAGAAAAAGGAGACAAAAGCAAGAGTCTTTTAATCTTGAAACTGCAGTTAAATACTAGTAGGGCCTCAAACGTGATCAAAAAGAGTATTGTAGTTCTCCAATGTAACTGTTATTGCGGGAAGCTATTGCTTATTGTGTTTTTTTGCGAGCTATGACTTTAATAACGAACAATACTAATGCCATTGTACTTTCTAACTTTTAAAAATGATGGACCCGTTAAAGTTCCTGTTGTGACCCGGCCCGGCACACTCTAGAGGGAAGGAGTCTGGGGACTAAAATTAGATGAGTCCGGAGAGAGCGAAGTTCCTGAGAAGACAATTCCCACTCCCCGTTTCTAAGAGAGTCAGAAGGCCTTGCTGTAGCGTGCTTTTCAAAGGTATTCTGGACATTATAACGGTACACAAATAACGTACTCACATTTCAGGGAGAAATCAGCACGGCTCAGGGACGTTTCTAAAAATAAGACTTTAATATTTCCGAGGCATGATATACCGACCGACACGTGCAAAAATGAACGATTTCCTTTCAGCTTTCATCCCGATTTCCCGGGCGTTTTTCCAATGACTTTTGCATGCTTAAAGACTTTCAAATTATGGAGATCAGAAGAAATATAGAGAGGTCACCAGCGGCAATATAAAACTGAACTTATGTGGGGAGGAGCGTTGCGTGACGACACTTAAAACGGCTGTGTAGCAGACTAATCAACTTAATAAAGCTACATAAAAATGTTGAAGGTAGGCAGTGTACATTAAAAAGCTGGCGATTTTCTTCTCCCCAGTCCTCTTGCGACTCTGCTCGCTCGTTTTTGTGGCTTCCCGCGCTCAAACGGAACTGCCATGTTCTTAAAAGGCATAGAGGACTTGCGGTTAGAAAAGTCTTTGACTGGAAGGCAACAAGGCTCCGCGACGGACGAAGGAAATTAAAAACGGTAAATCAAAAACATGGCCCACATATTTGAGTCAAGCGGTAGATAAAGAAAACAAAACTATAACAGTTTCAAAACGTGTTTTACAGTGCCAAGCAGGATGAAAAAGGAAAAGCGTTTATAAGAGCTTGTTTCCGGGGCGTAATTGCCGTAATTGCGACATCAAGATAACAGCTGTTTTTTCAATGAACGAGCTTCAACAGCGTTATTAAGCTTAAATGGCCGATAAATTGTGTAAACAAACAAACGATATATCTGGAATATTTCCGTGGTTTTCCGTTACTGAAAAATGAGATAATCTCACCTTTTGATAACATTTAAGATACAGGCTTCGATCAAAATCTAACCCCTAAGACTTGCTTGATAAAATAATGGACTCAGTATTGAAAAATGTGTTGAACTGACACGTTTTGACCTGGAAACCAAGCAGAGGTGAAAATAAAGAATGTGTTTACGATGACAAATTGTTTGTTTTGTGTTATCTTTGGCTGGCAGCCCTTCCACACAGCACACTCACACACATGTGGTCATGACATATCACGAAGGGCGCATAAAAGCTAAGGAAGACCAATAAATTTTACTAACCGCAGTGAAAACCTTATAAGTAACGGCAAAAACTTATTAACTATTTGCCTACAATGTGATAAGTTTCAATTTTTCTTCAGTTGTAAACATCCTCAATTCTGGGTACCCCTAAGACCCTGTCTTAGATGATCGGAGATACCTGTACTACTACAGAATCATTATAAACTTTTAAAGTAAAGTGGCCCGGAGGTTAAAAAAAAGATTTCTTGGCAAGAATTTTTCATTTTAACTTATCACTTGCTCTGGGTTTGTGAGGTAATCTCTTGCCTTGTCTTCTTCTAATCCTGCTATTAAAAGCTGCTGCGGTTCATTTCCAGCTTATATATTAGCTCCCTACTGTGTCGCAATAAATAAAGGAAATCCTCAGTGAATCCTGTCGATTTGCGGCGAATATAATGCAATAGGTCTACCTAAATCTGGAGAAACTGCACGGGAAACTATCATCTATGACACCGTTTGGTTTTCCTGGCAGTGATTTAGATCATCGGCACTGAGTCATACACTATGAATATATAGCTATCACGTGAGTTTGTTGAGAAGAAGCAAACGGATATCTTCGCCGTAATGCTTTCTTCATTTTTTTCCTCGACAGCGGATAAATTCTCCTAAATACACGGCATAACCTATTTGTAATTCATGGCCACTTTCATCGGTCATCTTCACGCACTTTGATTTCACGATAATCATATATTTAAATTGCAATTGGTGATGTTATGTTCAACTGAATTTTAAACATATCAATGTTTTAAAACAGGAGATGAGAGGTTAATATTGACAATGTGATATCCTAATACTACAAGGCACTGTTAAAAGTCTGGATAGTTTTGACATAAAATTTCCAAAGAAGTTGCTTCATACCCTCTTTCGATGAACCTAAATTAAAATTTTGCTACTGAAAGTGAACTATAGGAATGATATTGTCTCAGCTAAATTTCACAAAAGCTCCTCTCTACACTGGACTGCAATGGGCAAAACTTGGGTGCTGGAGGTCTTCCAGAGGTCTTTCGCGTTTCTTTCTACAAAGGGCGTCTTTTAAGTACGTGCACTTGCCAATCGGTGAGAATACTTATAATAGCACTTCAATTTTGGTAGCTTGCTTCAAAGATGACCGTTTGCTGAAACGTGATAAGTATCAGAACTTAATAGTGAATGAACTCACCAAAATGCGCATCACAAAAATTTTCTTGGGGATGACCTGGCTGGCAAGAACACGCGTTGCAAGTAGCCAAAGTACTCAGGATCAGCGTGGCGTACAATAGTAGCGGCATCTTGGTTTGCTGACAGTGTACGGAAGAATAAACTGAAAACTACTGAGCTAAGAGAGTTCGCTTCTTCCTTTTGTAGGAACTGATGAAACGTGATATCAGAATTTTTTAAAGGCGTCATGATATTCTTGACGTAATCTTTCCGAGAGTGCTGAACACGATAAACGATCATGCGGAGGATAGCTCATGATCATTGGGGGCGTTACGGCGCGGTGCGGCGCGGCGTGCGTATCATAACCAATTATCATATCTATCCGTTGAGAAACAATTTCTAAGTCAACATTGCACACATAACTGCTGAAGATTCAATGCTAAATTCTTCTTTGATAAGAAGTTGTACGTGCAGCCGGGAAAAATTGTTTGCTATAAATATCTATTTTTCTGGCTGGGATATGTTTAATTCTACGTTTGTCAAGCTTTATCTTATCTTTTACGGTCTTTTAATTTTGGTTTACTTATCGGCCCTTTGTTTGTCTGTGTTTTTAATACTAGCTTTTTCTACATTTTGGAAAATACCACGAGGAAAAACGATAAGGCACAGGCACGTTTTGCATGCAGATCAGAAAAATATCTGCTTCTGATTACAGTTTAGACGACGGCATTTAAAACGAAATACGCCAGTTTCCATAAACAATTGAAATGTTTTTAATTGCAAGAAATATCAAATGGTAATTTGGATCAGCGGAAGAGAATTCATGTCATTGGGTGTTGCAGGGTCAATTTTCAGTGTACGCTTATATGACGCGTTTTGCTTGATTAAAAGTGAATATCTTGAGAATTTTATAAGGTGTTTCGATACACTTTCTCGGAGACCATACCGATATTTTTCAATCGCCTTAAAAGTGATTTTATCCTTGTCCGATCGCCACAAAATTTTCAACAGTGATTGACTATGAATTGAAGTTTGTCAAAATGCAGATTTTAGTGAAATTGATATCACTATGACAACGATAAACAAAAAAACTTTGAAATCGATGTAATCCGAATTTCGCGCGATCTTGACCTGCTACCAAGAATCCGACACCAGGAACTTAAAATGTTGTGTTTAGCAAATAACCGCTGTGAGAAGTAAAAAATTCTGTGCGTTTGAATTCAAATAAAACATAAATATATTTCAGACCTTATATTTTAGATAGCCGTGATGAATTGTTCAATAAAAACGTTGTAAATAACTCAGATTAATCTCAAGTAGCATCAGAAGGCTACCTAATATCATATTCGTTGCGTGGAAATTTTGGAGTATTTTCTTTATTATGATCCTGAAAACTAAAATGTTTTCCCAACAACTGTCTGAGTGCAACTTTATTCTAAATTTTGACTTTTAGCGCTTTATTGTATATCTGTAAAACGGCTCGACAGAATTCTTTATCTGGGAAAATTTTGGTGTTTTTTATAAGTGGTCGCTTAGTAGAGGTGGTCGCACAATGAGATTCAATTACACTAGGAGTATAAATACCACTGTATTGATTTTGCTTATTTTACTACAAAACATCACAAGTTAGCTTTTATTAGTCACAGTCAAAATGAGTATACAATTAATAAAATAGCAGACATCGAGTCACAATTTTTTTTGATCGCCTACATTAAATACGCATCCAATAACCAAGTGCATACTTGGTGGAACTTGAAACTATGACAATATGACGAGCAACTGTGTTGTTCACCTAGATTTTTACATTATGACAACCTTGAATCACTTCTCTGTTAGAACTAGGATGAAAAAATAATAACTACGCATGATGTAAATGATATCAACCTCGTCACTAGGGCTTTTCCCTTAGAGAGTGGGAGGGGTGGAAAGCGTTGTAGTTGAAGCGAAACAAAAATTATAATTTGTTTTCTCTCGGTCGTCTGGCAATAGGCCACTTCCGAGTTCCAAAAACCCTCACTTTCAAAATGAGGCTAGGTGCACAGCCTTTCTTGTGAAAATGAGTTTTATTTGCATGAGAATGAAAAATGATTTCCATATCAAAGGCTGAGCACCTACCCTCGTTTTGAAACAGAGGCCCGGGGGAACCCGGAAATGGCCTGTTAAAGGGGGCAGTCTGGTCTAAAGCATTGTTTTTCGTTGATTTCCGCCCTTTTTCTTCAATATCTAGCCAACATTTCATTCCATCAAAAAATGACTCGATTAAGTTTGAGTCCTTGGTTCAAGAATTTTTTGAGAATTTTTGGATAATGTTTCGAATTTTTTTAAAAGTATAAAAATTAAGGGGGAAACATTGGAAAGTATTGGATGTGGGGGTTGTTAAAAATTGAAATATGAAATGAATAATTAGTAGACAAATACCAGATAGTCCACCACCACAACAAGATGTCTCTGATCCCATTAGCAGACTAATTGGTTTATGTGTATACCTTTTCTACCCTAATTTATTGGCCCAAATTAACATCATTTCCCTCAAAAAAACAACCAGAATACCCACTAAGGCAGCTGGTTAATGCAGTCAATATAATCAGCGGTTTTACTCCAGTAACATTCGTTTCTTTCTCTGTTCACGGGACGAAAAAACGGATTTACCGAACGTCAAAGGTGAAGTCAAACGCGCGATAAAGGCCACCTTTGCACAGCTTTGTACAACTTTGACGCGCGACAAATGTTTACCTTTGCCCGCGGTCAAAGGCGCGTCTTCAGGCGATAAAGGCCGTTTTTGTCACGCCTTTAACCCCTACCTTTGACGCGCGTCAAAGGTATATTTCATTAGCATTTGTACCCCTATCAAAGGCGTCGTCAAATATGTCTGAGATTNCTTAGATGATCGGAGATACCTGTACTACTACAGAATCATTATAAACTTTTAAAGTAAAGTGGCCCGGAGGTTAAAAAAAAGATTTCTTGGCAAGAATTTTTCATTTTAACTTATCACTTGCTCTGGGTTTGTGAGGTAATCTCTTGCCTTGTCTTCTTCTAATCCTGCTATTAAAAGCTGCTGCGGTTCATTTCCAGCTTATATATTAGCTCCCTACTGTGTCGCAATAAATAAAGGAAATCCTCAGTGAATCCTGTCGATTTGCGGCGAATATAATGCAATAGGTCTACCTAAATCTGGAGAAACTGCACGGGAAACTATCATCTATGACACCGTTTGGTTTTCCTGGCAGTGATTTAGATCATCGGCACTGAGTCATACACTATGAATATATAGCTATCACGTGAGTTTGTTGAGAAGAAGCAAACGGATATCTTCGCCGTAATGCTTTCTTCATTTTTTTCCTCGACAGCGGATAAATTCTCCTAAATACACGGCATAACCTATTTGTAATTCATGGCCACTTTCATCGGTCATCTTCACGCACTTTGATTTCACGATAATCATATATTTAAATTGCAATTGGTGATGTTATGTTCAACTGAATTTTAAACATATCAATGTTTTAAAACAGGAGATGAGAGGTTAATATTGACAATGTGATATCCTAATACTACAAGGCACTGTTAAAAGTCTGGATAGTTTTGACATAAAATTTCCAAAGAAGTTGCTTCATACCCTCTTTCGATGAACCTAAATTAAAATTTTGCTACTGAAAGTGAACTATAGGAATGATATTGTCTCAGCTAAATTTCACAAAAGCTCCTCTCTGCACTGGACTGCAATGGGCAAAACTTGGGTGCTGGAGGTCTTCCAGAGGTCTTTCGCGTTTCTTTCTACAAAGGGCGTCTTTTAAGTACGTGCACTTGCCAATCGGTGAGAATACTTATAATAGCACTTCAATTTTGGTAGCTTGCTTCAAAGATGACCATTTGCTGCAACGTGATAAGTATCAGAACTTAATAGTGAATGAACTCACCAAAATGCGCATCACAAAAATTTTCTTGGGGATGACCTGGCTGGCATGAACACGCGTTGCAAGTAGCCAAAGTACTCAGGATCAGCGTGGCGTACATTAGTAGCGGCATCTTGGTTTGCTGACAGTGTACGAAACTGAAAACTACTGAACTAAGAGAGTTCGCTTCTTCCTTTTGTAGGAACTTATGAAACGTGATATCAGAATTTTTTAAAGGCGTCATGATATTCTTGACGTAATCTTTCCGAGAGTGATAAACGATCATGCAGAGGATAGCTCATGATCATTGGGGGCGTTACGGCGCGGTGCGGCGCGGCGTGCGTATCATAACCAATTATCATATCTATCCGTTGAGAAACAATTTCTAAGTCAACATTGCGCACTTAACTGCTGAAGATTCAATGCTAAATTCTTCTTTGATAAGAAGTTGTACGTGCAGGCGGGAAAAATTGTTTGCTATAAATATCTATTTTTCTGGCTGGGATATGTTTAACTCTACGTTTGTCGAGCTTTATCTTATCTTTTACGGTCTTTTAATTTGGGTTTACTTATCGGCCCTTTGGGTGTCTTTGTTTTTAATACCAGCTTTTTCTACATTTTGGAAAATACCACGAGGAAAAACGATAAGGCACAGGCACGTTTTGCATGCAGATCAGAAAAATATCTGCTCCTGATTACAGTTTAGACGACGGCATTTAAAACGAAATACGCCAGTTTCCATAAACAATTGAAATGTTTTTAATTGCCAGAAATATCAAAAGGTAACATTGGGTGTTGCAGGGTCAATTTTCAGTGTACGCTTATATGACGCGTTTTGCTTGATTAAAAATGAATAGCTTGAGAATTTTGATGAGGTGTTTCGATACAATTTCTCGGAGACCTTACCGATGTTTTTCAATCGCCTTAAAAGTGATTTTATCCTTGTCCGATCGCCACAAAATTTTCAACAGTGATTGACTATGAATTGAAGTTTGTCAAAATGAAGTTTTTAGTAAAATCGATCTATGACAACAATAAACAAAAAACTTTGAAGCCGATTTAATCCGAATTTCGCTCGATCTAGACCTGCTACTGATAATCCGACACCAGGAACTTAAAATGTGGTGTTAGCAAATAACCTCTGTGAGAAGTAAAAAATCCTGTGTGTTTGAATTCAAATAAAACATAAATATATTTCAAACCTTATATTTTCGATAGCCGTGATGAATTGTTCAATGAAAACGTTCTAAATAACTCAAATTAATCTCAAGTAGTATCAGAAGGCTGCTTAATGTCACATTCGTTGCATGGAAATTTTGGTGTATTTTCTTTATTATGATCCTGAAAACTAACATGTTTTCCCACCTTCTGTTTGAATGCAACTTTATTCCAAATTTTGACTTTTAGCGCTTTATTGTATATTTCTAAAACGGCTCGAAAGAATTCTTTTTAAACCTTATCACTGGGAATATTTTGGTGTTTTTTATAAGTGGTTGCTTAGTAGAGGTGGTAGCACGAAGAGATTCGATTACACTAGGAGTATAAATACCACTGCACTGTATTGATTTTGCTTATTTTACGACAAAACATCACAAGTTAGCTTTTACTAGTCACAGTCAAAATGAGTATACAATTAATAAAATAGCAGACATAGAGTCACAATTTTTGATCGCCTACATCAAATACGCATCCAATAATCAACTGCATACTTGGTGGAACTTGAAAACCATGACAATATGACAAAAACTGTGTTGTTCACGTAGATTTTTAAATTATGACAACCTTGAGTCACTTCTCTGTTATAACTAGGATGAAAAAATAATAATTACACATGATGTAAATGATATCAACCTCGTCCCCAGGGCTATTTTTTGTTAATGTATAATGTATTTGGCATAAATACCACGAGTGATATTTCAAATTTGTTAGACGAAATTTGAGAGAATTTTGAAATATCATGAGTGTTATTTATGCCAGATATCACGTACAAATCATGCTATAATTTGTTTATACTACTACCCGCAAGAGGTTTGTAATTTTCACATCTAGGTATTTCAAATTAAGCTGAAATACCACTGCTCTAAGCCAATCAAATTGCAGAAATTTCTCATGTAGTAGTATAAAAGGGGGAAAATTGGAAAATATTGGATGTGGGGGTTGTTAAAGATTGAATAATAAGAGTGGTTTTCATTTGAGTGTCGAAAAGTAATTGGTTTTGCACTTTCTACACGATGCGATTGGCTTAAAAGATTCGCGCCACCTTTTCATCCAATCAGAAGTAAAACCAAAGCCAATTGTGACGNACTTGATCTTTGACGCACGTCAAAGGAGAAGTCAAAGTTGTTACCAATTTGACTTCACCTTTACCGAGGTCAAAGGAGTAAGCACAGAGGTTATATATTTGGCGACATCTTTGACGCGCGTCAAAAGTGACGTCAAAGCCAGTACCATATTTGATTTAACTTTTGACGCGTGTCAAAAGTGTCGTAAATCCAATTTTTCGTCCCGTGGTTCTTCAAACATTGAGAATGGAGCCATTCACAGCCCCTATAAAAATACCCCAGCCATTGTGGCGTAACATCACATCCTTTAAGGGGCCTGTTGCATCCTGGTCTTCCAAAGCACGGAGTAATATGACACTCGCAGTTTTGCCCATAGATTCCGCTGATTCCTAGTTTGTACGCGGGCGTAACATTGGTCCATTCTTCAATCCAGCTACCTTCGTTCATGTGAAATTTTCCATTTTTGATTAGTCCTGACAGGAGGTATTCCGTCTTGGCGTCGCTTCTTAACACTTTCCTATCAACGTAAACTTCCAAGGTCAAATTGGTTTTCCCAGAACTGTTGCCTTCAACATTTTTCGTCTGGTTTTCGAGCAGGTCTTCTCCTTTGTAAATTTCTAGGATTTTAAGATCATAAACGCGAATCTTATGTTTTCCGCCGTCTTCTGAGTGGTTTTTGGGTAACACCTTGGCGTGGACAACTGAATAAAGGAAAAGAAGAGTGAATTGTGGTAATAAGATAAAGTTACAATATATTGTATAAATATAACATAAATCAAGAGACGTCTTTTCTTTGTAGCCTGCGAAAGCCTCGTTTCTCTCCAGCCGTAAACAGACGTCGCTCTTTAATTTTCTCGGCGTGTGGAAAAAACGCCGAAAACGGCGTCTGCTGACGCAGTCTATTTTCTTTGGTGATCAAATCTTTTCTTCTTATAACCTTATTGTATGATTGAGAAGTGATATTTTAAGGAGAAATGAGAGGCTGGCCAGATAAATTTTCACTTTTTGATATGCCTGGAGTTGAAGAAGAATATTTGCAAAATAGAACGTATCCATATAAGGAAGTACGGTTGACGCCTGATATTTCATCAAATTTCTGATGGTTCTTCCGTTCAGCGAAGTCTCACACCACCAACACAAATTTAGTTCGCTGTAGGGGGTGCCAAACGTCATATTGTCATATTAGTACGTGATTCACCAACAAGCCGCCCCATCACACTGGACACGATTTAGTACAAACTGGTTGAGGTACATTTGACAGGGCATTGCTTTTCAACTTTCACACAGCTCAAATGGAGAGGTTCATCACCATAGTATGTTTGTTCTGCCATGGGCAAGTACAATTATAAAAATACGGGGGAAGAGGGTGGTACTTCCAGATAAAAGTGGTCGGGATGCTCGTCAACTCGCTTTATACGAGGGGTGGAAATTGCAGAATTTGGTCTCACTTAGGATCTGAAGCCAACATTTTTTGCCGTAAAGGTATCGCTTAGGGTGGTGCGTAAGGAAATATCCATACTTAAAAGGGCAAATGTCGTCAAAGTTTTGTAGATCATGACTTCCTTTAGGGTCAAATAAAACCTAAGCCACACCAGATTGGTCACCTTTAGGAGCATCCCCCCGTTACTCTTATATGGGAGGTTTTCCCGGGGAGTAAGCTACACCCTAGAGATACAAAGAAGCAGTCGGAGTAGGCGCCAAGATTGCCAGCCTTTCGAGTCGTCAGGTGACAAAAAATGTTTTACTAGAATTAGTTGTTTTCCTGGTTGTTTTACATTATGTTTTTTAAAGATTCGTTGAAATTTCATGAAACGTTGTCTTCCTTTTCTAAGCTTGATGAAAAATTGTCCCGAAAACTTTGGACGACAGTGGGGTTCGAGGCACGAGTTAGTCCAGCGTGTTTATCACAGACTAGCATTTTTTCTCCTTGTTTCCGGTGCCCGGGGGGAGAGGGACGGGGGGCGTGTGTGATTCAGCTTCCGCTAGGACGAGATCACGAGATATCCTTTTTGAACTCACGTTGTGAAGGAATACGTGTTCCGCAGGAACTTCTCGTGTATTCTTTTTTACGTTTTCTTTCGTTTTTTACCTAATAGAAAATAATGGCTCGCTGTTACTGGGCTCCGGAAAAAGAAACTCTTCGGTTCCAGGCCGAGAAAAGGGACGAGCAACAAAAATCTTCCAATAGTTCTCCGATCCTAAATAAAAGGATTATTATCCAGGTTATGACCTGTTATTGCGCGCAAGAGAAAAAAAAACTTAATCCATTTTAATGCTTACAAGAGAAAAAACAGTCGGCAAACTATCCGGGAATTTTTCTTATTAACGGTACAAAGACGATGCTTTCAGTGTATTATCCGCATCAGTCATTCGTGCCCATTTGCTTTATTTCTCATTTCCTGACATTTGTGACATTTTTCTTTGATTTTCTCCGTCTTTCGAGTCCTTGACCATTGACCCTGTCATGGGTATTTTAAAATAACGTGACAAGCCGCTTACTTCAGTTCAAAACATTGCCTCGGACAACAAGAAGGTTAACAAAGACACTCACCAAAATCTGCCGAACAGAACTGTTCTTGAGGATGCTTCATGTAACGAGTGACTGGTTGGCTTTTACCGTACACACAATCTCCAACGCTCATCAGCAGTAGAGCCAAAAGAATCAAAGACATTCTTTCTTCCTCTGCAATTCCCACAACAACGTTGAACTGGCTTGGCTAACTTTTAACTAATCTACGGTCTTGTCGGTTGCTTTTATTTTAAAGCACTGGTGATTTGCGTACTTCCTGTACACAGCAAGGCCACAATCCTGCTATCGAAACATTTGCGCAACAGCCTCGCCTCAAGGCACTAGGTGGAGTAATTATCTAATGACGTGACATGACGTCATAAGAACGATTAACCTACGATAGGAGCATGTACCTAGCCATTTCTCGAATATCTAACATCTGATTTTTTTCCTTTCATTTTCGAGCCCAAGAACAATCATTCAAATCAAGAGCTAAACAATATAAGCTAATAAACCAGTCCATTTTATTTTGTCAACATTAATTCTTGAAATCCCGATCTTGAATTTTAAACAACAGCTTTCCGGGCCCTTTAGTTATCAGGAATTTGGCGAGAAACGAGCGCGGGCTGCTGGATCTTTTATGAGAACGGTATTTTATTAAACCCAAATAAAGCAGTTTTAGAAAGCACGAGTGGCCAGACTGCTGTGCAGAAAATAGAAAAAAATTGATACTATAAAGGAAAAAACAAAACGAAGCCCAAAAATATCGGAACAAAATGAAAATCTCCATAGGTCTATTAATTACCGGGCTCCTGAGTAGAGTGGGTAGTAGCTTGTAGAATTAAAGGGCCGGGGAAAGATGAAAATTGCCGTGGAGAGAGGGGAAGGTCACTGTTTTTACTCCATTCCCTCCCTCCTCGCCCACCCTACGTGTTTTTCACCTTTCCCCTCCCGTGACGGGAGCCCACAATACAGGCCAGCTCTCTATACAGCGGTCTATTTACTGCGTTGTACCTTACAGTTCATCGTAGTTATTAATGCCTGGAGGCTCAAGATTCTTAGCCTTCTGAATAAGGTGTGCTTCGCACCTAGTTTCAATTAAGATTAGTAGTATGTATGGTTTTATAGGGGGGAGGAGAGGAGGCGAAGGAATCTATAAAAAATGCTGTGTTAAAAAATTGCAGTATTTCACAAAGAGGGAGACTAATAACCTCGTGCCACCCTTGCTTATTGAGTGCTTAACAGTCCTCTCAAATGCAACCATACCTCAGTAGGCAATATAATTAAGATAATTTAGATGCAGTGTGACTAATCCATACTCGCCTTCCATTGTTCCTTTTGACATTTAGTCGTACGTTTTTATTCCAACTACTTACATTTGCTACAACAATGACAAATGTTATAAAATAACAATTTGACTACACATGTACAGTTACTTATTTGGTGTTCGTGAACTGAACACATAGTCTCAACTATGTATAACATGTTGTTTAAAGCACATACCATAACTATTTTTACTTAAACACCTCATTCTCGATCTTGGTTTGGTGGACTCGGCGTTTATTGCAAGAAGCAGTTTATTTGGACATCAATCGAGAATATATTTTTCAATGTAAGGACTTAAAAAGATGTAGGGACACATAAACGTTAAAAAGCATCCTGACTTCTCACGCCACTTATCGGGCAATGATGTCACGCTTGAGGTTAAGATTGTTTGATACGCGTATTATAACCTACTCGTCCAGCAAATGTTACTCTTACTGTCATCTGGTTACTATGTATACAGCTTTTTTCTGAAAGCGCGCGCTCTAATTGGCTTTTTCGAGGTCACATGACAATAAACAAAGTTTTTTTTTCGATCAAAAATATCTAAGCGCCCCCTCAAGCTTGCAAATTTTAGCTAGACGGGTTGTTATTGAGATACCACAGGAGTCCATAAGTAGCAGCGAGCAACTTCCATGCGCTTGTGTCAGGGCGTTTGTACGGACCAGTTTATTTTTAGAACGGTTTGGGCGCGAATTTTGAATATCTTCTAAACTCCACAAACCAGTCAGCAAATTCTACAGACCTAAAAATGATATTTTTTGCCTTTTAATAACGTTTAGGTTTCCCTTTTGATATCTAATACTTTGAATACGCTAATAGACATGGTGGAGATTCTATTTTTCCGGGAAAAAGTGCCCTAAAATGCGATTAAAAATAAACTGGTCTGTAAAAACGCCGTGACATAGGCCTAGTATGGGAGTTGTTCGCTCCGGGTTGTTGGCTCCTGGATACCAGCAATAAGGTGACCCTTAGAAGTCCTTTCATGTGTGCTTTTACTATTGCTTTCATGAGATTTAGACATTCGATTTCGCGGTAGAGTTCTTTAACCTATACTGTTGAATTACTCTCATCACTTACAATTACCAAGCGTACTACTGTAGCTAGCTTTTTGTCTCGAAAACATCTTTGTTTATTACAAGTGGATTTAAAACCTTTTCGCAAGAATATTATGTGAAAAAGCATGTCCTACTGCGTGTTTTGTACAGTGAAAAAACGCAGTGTTAATGCAAGTTAAAAAATCAATACAATCTCAGTAGCTCACGGGATTCTTTTCAAACACTTCTTGTACTCGCTGGTTATCCGCCAAGCGCATGAGTTTCCTCGCCAGTCCCTAACGCAGTAGGAGTTCTTGCTCTTACAAGTTTCCTTCATGGGCGCGCCCCAATCCACCTTGTGACAGCCCTGTAGCATTTGGCTACAGTTACTACCAAAACACAAACCGACCTGGCACATGCAGTTTTCACCGTAAAAACGTCGGATTCCCGCACGTTGCTTGCGTGTGATTTCTGACCATTCTGTCCGCCAATTACAACTGCCAGTCCTCAGCTTTTTGTTGAGTATTTGACCCGTCAGAAGGTACACGGTGTTGTTACGCAGGGGAACGTTGCATGAAGAAGCGTTTGGCGTGGTGTAGAGCTTAGCAAGCCACGTCCGTCTTCTTGATCCGTAAACTTGAGCACCGTTCGTCTCTTTGACGTCCATGGCTCCTTTGTAAATTTTGAGTATTCTTAATGTGTATACTTGTTCTTGAATAAACTCAGCTGGGATTTTTTCTAAGACGGCTGTCTCTGGTGACTCTGTGAGTAATGGCTCCTCAGTTGACTTAGACAGAACTTTGGCCCGTATGACTGTTAAAACAATGGTAAAATCGCTATTAACCTTTCAAATCCCAGGAGGTGCCAACATAGATTTTCTCCTAACAACATCAGTACATTATAATGTTAAAAGGTTTAAGAATTAATAAAATGATCACTAAAGAGAACAGTTCTCTCAGCTAATGTTGTAATGGTAGGCATGGAGATCATGGGAATCTGCCCATCTAACACCCAACATTAGCACTAGACTGCAAAACAGTTTTTTTTTTTCAAAATCAGTAACGAAATCGGAAAAGCGCGGCGTAAGAGTCTTACGCGCGCGAAACGCGCGAGCCTCACGCGCCCGTGAGAGAAAAAAAATATTTTTACCGTCTCTTCCCGGTCTCGCTCTTTGTTTTCTGCCTCGTTCCAGACCTTTTGTTTGACTGCTCGCGCGTACTTGAATACGCAAAAATACTGACTGCCGTCTACATTAGCACTTACTTCTCACTTAGGGCAAAATGTTGGCTTAGGAGAGGGTTAGGTGGGCAGGTTCCCAGAAACATATAATGACCCGAGATGATCAGGGTTAATGAAAGGGAAGTAAGCTAGACAAAATAAGGAATCCTTTAGCTAAGGAAGGACAAAAATCGGTTCCTTAGTTTTCAGCATGTGTAGATATCATCTTACTAAATGTCGTATTTACTAACACCTATCGAAGTTTGCAGAAAGGTCTCTTGGTTAGCATACTATTTTTCTCTCTCCTAAAGAACTTTGATCTATTTTAAGGACATCAAACGCTGCGCCGTGTGTGTGTTTACTTAATAACGTTCAAAAACTCATTAATAATTCATAAAGCAAAACAAAAAAATTTAAGTTTATTGAGTGTCTTTATATCTGATAAAGACATGGTTAAACTTTACGTCCAATTCTTTGGACCAAAATAACCCAAAATCTTAATATTAGTGCAAGATAACAGAGATTCTGAAGCCGTTCAAAAAACTCGTAGTCTTGTATTATCGGGTTTAAAAACTCCGACTTCGCCTCGAGTTTTCGGCTCGTTTTTTAAACAGTACATATTAACTCCGGGGCAAAGATCCATTATTTGTGCATCCTGGAAACAAATTTCATCTTGATTCTCGATTTCCAATTTTATCATCCTTCTTAATTACAATTCTCTGTTGATAGCCTCCGCTGGGTTTTTCCTGCCCTTTCTGTTTTGGAGTCTGAAAGTCGATAAATTGTTTACTAAATTGATAATCTAAGCCTTAAAAAATTGAAAATCTAACCTTAAAATCTTTAGTATCAAAGTAAAAAAATGTTACGTTGTGATTTATGTTAAGCCGTCTGAAATTGCAGTTATTTTGAATCCTCTCTGTTAAAAGATGTCTTCTTTAAAAAAGGAAACTTCAGTCCTCTTTGTTTTTAATTGCGGCCTGATTTTGTTTGCTTAATCGTCTGATCCCATAGACTGTTTGGAAATTCAATGCTTTGCCAGTGTACATTTCAATTTGAAATAAAAGGATATAGGAAACAGTTTTAATACTGGATGACATCTTTCATGGCGATCAAGGCTGTGACTAATGCCATTCGTGAAACTTTCAAGCGTAACTTATACTATGCTGAAATTCTGAAAGGGACCACAGAATAAAGAATAATAATGAACAGAAAGAATGACATGAGTAATAAATTTTCCACCAACTTTTAACTTTGAACTTCTAAAATTGCCGATCATATGATTCGATCGCGAAGCCGGTATGTCAAACACTAGAATGGATGTTTTACCTGATTTCCAGATACCTTGTACGCGGTTAACTTTCAACTTATGACTCAGTCCTTCACTCGATGCGCGAACACCAGATGAGAATTTCCCATGACTCGCACTTAGACTGCGGTTCACATTCCCCTATTTTTCCGTAACATCGTCGAGATCGAGCGCTTTGCCCAAACCTCGACGACCACCCTTTTGGTGCATAAGAAAAACAGATCCTGACGCTCTTACGAAAAAATAGGGGACTGTGAACAGCCTAGCACGCACTTTGAACCTTGACCAAATTTTGCACAAAGTTGTTCTTTCAAAAAATATCTTGGAGATGGTTAATCCTTTCTACTCGATTCCTTGTTCGATAAATATCTGTTAGTTACAGTCAGATCACGTTAGACTGGCACACTCAATTTACCTGTGACTCACACTGAGCGCCGGTTATACCACGATAGCTCATAACGGCCTGTATGCTGTAGCCATGCTTACTCTGTTTTATTACGAGGAGACTTATAAGACCGATTGGAGTCTAATTCGGTCTGTAGTCATAAGAGTGACTAACAAAATCGGACGACCAGGTTGCGGGAGTCCGATTTGTTTTATCACGAGTAGGGTTAAAGATCGAAACAGACGATACGAAATGATGTTAACCAATCAATCATATCCACAACAAAATTTGTAATAAGTTTAGATTGTCTTTTAAATTAAATCACGTGGTCTTACAAGAGTTGTTTGCTAGAAGTGACAAAAACAAACAACGTTCAAGTGGGCGTGCGATGGCGCGCACTGTCAAATAACTCCATGTCGCTAACTGTTCTATACATCACGCTGTCTTAATACCACTGAAATCATGCGGGGCTACTAACAGCCAATCAGATTAGAGAATTTTGTTATAGTTATGATTTTTTTTAAAATTCTGAGACAATAATAGTAATAACACCAAATTATATAGAGCTCAAGTCATGTCGCATTAGCTTAAAGCGCTTTATCACTCTCAAAAATGGTAAAATTTACAAAACATACCAAAAATAGAAATAACTTCATTAAATAAAAAAAGACTTGCTGCCTGTCCGGTTGGTCGATACAGAGGCGTATTTACGACTACAAAAGGCAAGTACACTTCATACTGAGTTTAGTCGCGATTGGGCCGAGGTAAATAACGAAGGCTCATGTCTGGTGAAAACAATATTTCTAGGATCAACGCCTCTTAGACTTCCTGTGAGATCATTAATTAGGCGATTCTATATTTTGCTGAAATTCTGAAAGGGACCACAGAATAAAGAATAATAATGAACAGAAAGAATGACATGAGTAATAAATTTTCCACCAACTTTTAACTTTGAACTTCTAAAATTGCCGATCAAATGATTCGATCGCGAAGCCGGTATATCAAACACGAGAATGGATGTTTTACCTGATTTCCAGATACCTTGTACGCGGTTAACTTTCAACTTATGACTCAGTCCTTCACTCGATGTGCGAACACCAGATGAGAATTTCCCATGACTCGCACTTAGACTGCCGTTTACATTCCCCTATTTTTCCGTAACATCGTCGAGATCGAGCGCTTTGCCCAAACCTGGACGACCACCCTTTTGGTGCATAAGAAAAACAGATCCTGACGCTCTTACGAAAAACTAGGGGACTGTGAACAGCCTGTGAACAGCCTGTGAACCTTGACCAAATTTTGCACAAAGTTGTTCTTTCAAAAAATATCTTGGAGATAGTTAATCCTTTCTACTCGATTCTTTGTTCGATAAATATCTGTTAGTTACAGTCAGATCACGTTAGACTGGCACACTCAATTTGCCTGTGACTCACACTGAGCGCCGGTTATACCACGATAGCTCATAACGGCCTGTATGCTGTAGCCATGCGTACTTTGTTTTATTACGAGGAGACTTATAAGACCGAGTGGAGTCTAATTCGGTCTAAAGTCATAAGAGTGATTAACAAAATCGGACGACCAGGTTGCGGGAGTCCGATTTGTTTTATCACGAGTAGGGTTAAAGATCGAAATAGACGACACGAAATGATGTTACCAATCAATCATATCCACAACAAAATTTGTAATAATTTTAGATTGTCTTTTAAATTAAATCACGTGGCCTTACAAGAGTTGTTTGATAGAAGTGACAAAAACAAACAACGTTCAAGTGGGCGTGCGATGGCGCGTACTGTCAAATAACTCCATGTCGCTAACTGTTCTATACATCACGCTGTCTTACTACCACTGAAATCATGCGGGGCTACCAACAGCCAATCAGATTAGAGAATTTTGTTATAGTTATGATTTTTTTAAAATTCTGAGACAATAATAGTAATAATACCAAATTATATAGAGCTCAAGTCATGTCGCATTAGCTTAAAGCGCTTTATCACTGTCAAAAATGGTAAAATTTACAGAACATACCAAAAATAGAAATAACTTCATTAAATAAAAAAAGACTTGCTGCCTGTCTGTTGGTCGATACAGAGGCGTATTTACGACTACAAAAGGCAAGTAACTTCATACTGAGTTTAGTCGCGATTGGGCCGAGGTAAATAACGAAGGCTCATGTCTGGTGAAAACAATATTTCTAGGATCAACGCCTCTTAGACTTCCTGTGAGATCATTAATTAGGCGATTCTATATTTNATTCTGAGACAATAATAGTAATAATACCAAATTATATAGAGCTCAAGTCATGTCGCATTAGCTTAAAGCGCTTTATCACTGTCAAAAATGGTAAAATTTACAGAACATACCAAAAATAGAAATAACTTCATTAAATAAAAAAAGACTTGCTGCCTGTCTGTTGGTCGATACAGAGGCGTATTTACGACTACAAAAGGCAAGTAACTTCATACTGAGTTTAGTCGCGATTGGGCCGAGGTAAATAACGAAGGCTCATGTCTGGTGAAAACAATATTTCTAGGATCAACGCCTCTTAGACTTCCTGTGAGATCATTAATTAGGCGATTCTATATTTGCCGCTTTTTATCTGTTACTTAGACGGTATGGACACTAAAATAAACTGCAGAATTATTTTTATTACTAATATTTTTCCCCCCCAAAAAAAACAATCACAATTTTCAGACTGCGAGATTCTTTAAATATTTTCTTCATACTGAAAAGCCCCAGGAACTGGGACTCCGCAATAGTCACTCCTAGAATCTAATCTTATCTACATACACTCTCAAACGAAAGACTACCTCCCGTAATAATCAGAGCCACTGACTGACGTCTCAGTGGTTATCAATGAATTGGTAATATTCGTGGATTAACTACAATGGCTAGAGCCTAGAGCCAAACGTTAGATCCTCTTCAGTTAATCCTTCTACAACAGGAAGCAGAGCGACTCTGTACAATTGTTTGATGAAACAAGTTAGGATTTCCCTGGATTTCCACCTAATCAATAATAGCTTACATTGAATTTACGTGCCGAGGTAAACGCCGACCCTAACTGCCCTGCGATAGTATTTAAAAGTTGAGCCATAAATAATAACTGAATATCCCTTGAGACGGAAAGGATGAAGATATGTCTTCCAAAGCTGAATCGCATCTGCTTGGTGTGACTTATTCACTTCGCGTGACTAATGGGACAAATGGTGACAAGAAAATTGTTTCAAGTGGCGAAATGTTACTGATCACGTTTGTTTCTATCTCTCACGCAAAAATCACGAACGGTTTACTCCACTTGTGATGAAGAGACCCACCAAGAAAAAGCCCTTCAAAAAGGTAAAAAAGTCATCGGAGTGATCTGTATAGACGCGATTTCAACACCCAACTAGCGAAGAATTTCCGCTGAGTTTCTAGAGAGTGGCGCTTATGCAATGAGGGCAAAAGGTCTCTTGTCATGCTGATATATTTATCGTCACAATAAACCATGATCTTCAAGATTGTTATGTCTAACGTCTAGGATTATCCGTTCAAAGAAACATCTCATCTAGCTACCATCTCCATTCCTTGTGTGATAAATGCCATAGAAGTTATTCCACCTTGTCGGATTAGTTTGTCACTTCACATATTTTGGTCTTTTGCTATTATCTTGGGATTTAATCCAGCTTTAAGTAAGGAACTTATTTGTTATCGTTTATTTGAGAATCGCAAATACAACTGCTCGATAAATGTCTCCGTGTGTTGTGAAACGTTCCCGTTGATCAGCGAATCATACCGCGCAAGTACAGGGAAAAACATCGGTAGAATCAGACACCGGTAGAATCAACCAAAAAGATGTCTAGCGTGTAAATTCTTTAACTTTCTCATCAAATCGTCTTAAGAATATTAGACAACTTAAAACGGCTAATAAAATTACCAAATCTTGTTTCTAACCGATTGCCTTGCCTAATACCCCCGCCGGAGAAAAACAGCTTTATAGTATGTCTATGAAATGCGTACAACCCAAGGGCCAAAAGCCATACGTTCGTTTTCCGCACGCAATCAAATGCATAGGTTTCAAATATAGAAAACGATAAACACCTTTGAGTGATATAGTGACACTTTTCAGCAGATTGATCTTTCAGTTGTCTTTCCTCTCGGGTTTCATTGGTGAAATAAATTTGGATTTTCTGATAAAATCTGGGTGGTTGACTTGTCGAAGGGACAAGTCAAACGATTTGTCAAATTCACGGACATAAAATGGCGATGAGCATGTTTCAATGAAAACTTGGCACGTTGGGTTAAATTTAACATGGGTAATCGAATAGAAAAACAAAATTGATGTTTTGTTTTGAGATTGAATGCAAATATTCTGTTTTATATATTGAATGAATAATCGCAATGTGTGGGATGGGCTATCAAGTCAACATCAGTAGATCGAGAGCCGTCTTTATTTTTGTCTACATTTGTACGCTCCTGTTACTGCTGCTGTTCATAATGCCAGATTACATTATTACTGAGAGAGAACATTGTCCAAAGACACGGTCTCCCTTTTTCGTGTTCATTTGTTCGTATTCGTTGTGAATGGAAAAAGTTAAAAAGAAAACGACAACATTTACAGTAATTATTCAGATTGGGTAGAAATTCTTAGCTGTCATTTTCGATTCCATAGCCATGATGCAATAATATGTACCTGTTGAAGGCAAAATATAAAACAAAACCTTTTACTTACCAAATGCCGAATTGCAATAGTCATTTTGAGGGTGCCTTGGAAGACATGAACACGTACGGCAAAACCCCGTTGTGAAAAGAGCATTGCCGAGGAGAAACGCAAAAATGTAACTTTCCATCTTAGCTTACACCGAAATCTTGCCCTTTGCAGTGGGAAGAACTCCAGTGTCAGTTACCGCGTTAGCTGAATCAGTGTTTTCTTGTTTCCGCCAGCGGCCAAACCAGTCCAAGTGAAAAGGCGTTTTAGTTTACAGTTTTTCACCTTGTAATCGGATACGTGGGCGTCTTCTTTCGGGAAAAATGCGACCCTTATTTTTCATGCCCTCGTGATGACACCAGGTTTAAAAAAATTAGCAGCGAATTCAAAGAGGGTATAGTCACGCTTCAGGGACCACACAGGGCCTCTTATATAGGGTTGACAACTTTAACAGAATGTTCGTTTTCCGGCCAACTGAATCATCCAGACTTCAAAATCACGCCGAGTTGTACAATATAAAAGCAGTTATTTAAAAATCTTTTGGAATAGAATATTTGTCCCGACAATGTGTTTATTTTAGATTTAAGTGATTCACATTAAGAGAAAAAATCAAGTCTTGGATGTCTTATTTTAAAGGTAGAAAAATGTTCTTATCTACTTGATGCTTTGCTCATGGAATTTTAAGGAAGTTAACGCTGGCTTCTCAGTGAAGTAAGGATGTCTTTAGCTATAATCACCCCAGAGAATTGAAAGAATTTATCCCTGCACAACAGATATCATTTCTTCCAGGCGATTTCTATCGAGTTACGTGAGTCGCTTTCTAGTACTCAGTTTTAGACAAACACTACGTCTTGTAACGTTTTGTCAATCCTTTTTTAAAGAGTACAAGAATACATCAATTGTTATTTTGCATATTTAAATTATTTACCTTATCGGAACTTTCAGGAAGTTATTAATGACCAATTTACCGCCAACAAATTTCTCACTTACAAAACACGTGCCTTTTTTGTGTTACTTAACAAAATTTCGTTCTGTCATCAGCAAAAAAAATGTTTTCCGTATAACTCATTCTCTCTTGGTATAAAGCGGTGACCATTTTTCTCTGTTTCAATATAAGGCCGGATGGTTACGGGATTTTGCTGCAGTACTAAAACCAAGTTAAATCTGACCCTTGGAGAAAGTTTCTTGCCTTTGCGTGTGGTAGATTATATCCTTAAAGGTGGGGTGATCTCTAGTAAGATATTTTTTATGGCTTCAAAAGTGATTCCTTGGAATGTTTTTGTATGAACTGTTAGCTGTTATTTGATATAAGGAGACAGCGGAAATCTCAAGAAACTTAGGCGGGAAAATACTTTGAATATTAAACTCTTACTAACCATTTTTCCAAATATTTTTCTATTATTGAAATTGTCAATGAGTACTGGTCTTCTGTAAACACAGTTACATCGCTGCCACTTATCGGACCACTAAAAATACCAACTGCATTGTCACGGTCGCTGACAATCTTTGGTCACCGAGTCACTTTAACTGCAAAGATTGAGACAACGTGAACTTCACCGAGGGCTACGGTTCTCGCTTAAATTGTTTTTTTGCCTTTAGACATTCTTGTGGTTCCGCTGGTTCGGGAATATTGGCTTGAAAAGGTGATCGGCTTGCTGCCAAACTATCATAGTTCTATTTTATTCGCGGTAAACTCTACTTGATGGAATTAAGAGGGATGAGAGGGTATTAAAGCGAACCGTTGGCATGTTTCGAAGATAACCGAAAAGACGTCGAAACTATGGCCAGGAAAAACAACGGATCGTCGGATCGTGACTTCTCGTATTTTGTTCGCAATAGTCTCTATTTGTGTCTTTGTGTCGCAAGAGCCGATATTGAACAGATCTTTCTCGCGGTACAAAATCAAATATCGACATCTACTATTTTTAAATATATATTTTAGACTAAATTCTCTGAAAAAGAAAAGGAGAAAATGCTTTAAAATAAATGAAGATAGAGGGATATTTTTGAGGTTGTTCAACACACAAATTTACAGCAAGAGATAATGAGCTCATTCAACCTTTGTTAGCTTGTGTACAGTTGTTGAACCTGCTCGTCACTTTAAAACTTAGTTATAAAACAGTTCTTAAGTCGTAAACAGTACAAAACTAAACTGACGTCACGTGTTAGCGAAATGAAAATGCATTTTTGAGTATATCTGTAAAAGCTTTGCAAATGCTCACAGATTAAAGATTTAAATTAAGCTGTGCAAATTTAAAAGTTCCGGTGTGTTTTCCTCCTCAATTATGTATCCGGCCCACAACCTGGCTTGAAAACACTGAACAGTTTAAATGTCTTTTTTGTATTTTATTTGTAATATTCGCGATTTTAGGGGGAAAAATCTGTTGTCGATGTATGTTGTAATGTATGCTGTCAATGCATTACAGCACATCTCTTAATTCAGTTGATTACAGGCAGTTGAATATATCGTTGTAGGATTTTATCCAGTTGGGAAGATTAAACCCTCCCTTTTAAAAGTCCGCAACCTCGCATTTTTCGGTGCTTGCGTTCATTGCCGCGTGTAAGGTGTATGCGGTAACGTTCCGCTTATTCCGACATATTTCATACGCTGTTTTTAGTTTTAGAGGTGTTTAAATTACAGCAAGCCGTAATAAACAACTTTCTTTCAGCCTGATATCACTTCTGCTAACTAAGACCATCTTGTTCGGCAGTCGTACGCTGCACTCGGTTCAAAAATTGGCCTATTTAACATGATGGGCCCAGTAAGACCCATTTCGTATGTCGTGCTTCTACCCGGTCCAGAAGCACGGAACCAAGAGCACGGCAGAACACGACGTCTGAATCAGAGTTTTGAACGACAAGGTCTGCCGTTACGACTCTGGCACGGCAGTGATTCAAACGTTGTGCTTATGCCGTGTCGAACTAAATTCATAAATTTCTGAGATGTGTTTTCCGAAATGCATATATATATATTTTGTTTCATTGACTGCTGACTTGAAATGGGGTGTTAGCATTGAATTTTTAACAATCGATATAATTATGTCTATCATTCTTTAGACTTAAACCAAACGCTTGTGCAAAGTAGCGTGTCTTTGTTTTATTCCCCACGTGCAGCATTGAACCCAAGTATGACTGATTTTGATAATTCAAAACTAGCCCATTGGTATGGGATTCCAGTACTAGAATTAGAGGCCAAACCACAGTATTTAGAATTGCAGGCGTTTAGGTGTCCTACTGTTGACCAGTTACAACAGTTAGATATATCTAGGCGGATCTCTTGAAAACGTTACCACCAAATGTAGCCATTATAAAAACTAAGAGTGCAACCACTGCTTTTTTCTCTTCTCCTCCTTTCTTCCTTCTCGCTCTTTCTTTTTCTTCTTTCTTTTTCCTTCGTTAGTGTGATTTTGGAGCTTATGGGGCCCAAAAAGCCTGCCTTTTGACGCCTTTTCTCTCAAATGACTGCAAATTTTGTTAGGTTGGTTTTCAAAAAATCGGCTAGATATAAATAGTGATATTTGCAGGAGCACCAATTATTTAGAGTCTTTCAGTCATTAAGTATGATACAGGTGACTTTGCTTTCAGCACTCTAATTTCGCTTTACAGAGTGTAATCCCTGGGATATAATTTGAAACCAAACGAGGCTAATCATGGCTTTTGGTTATACGGGGGATGTTTTTGCTAGTTTTATCGCTCTACATTCTCAGAGCAGCACTGATTTACCCTACACTTCAAACATCTCACTGCCAACTAAAGATTACATTATGTCCGAAATAAACTGACAAGTTCTTGTAAAAGAATGATGTTTTTTTTTTCCAAGTTGCGCGATGGGTTCTAGCTTATCACACTGAGTGCGCAGAGTCAGTTGATTTAATGAATCTAAAAAAAATGTTCGCGTACCTTTATGAGGAGTTGTTCTACTTATAGGTATGGGGTCCTGGAATGAAGCCCTCAGGGATGTCCCTGTTTGAGTTGATAGAAGTTCCTATAGAAACCTGATGCGTTGAAACGATCAATTTGAAGATAAAGTTTTTACAAACGTCAAAGTAAATGCTAATTGTTTTTCATGATTTAGACCCTTGGTATGGTCCTTTCTGTACACTAACAATGAAACAATTCTTAGAAGGGGTTCACCTAATCTTTAAATCAAGAAAACTTTAAATTCTGGACACCCCCTTGAACCTTATGACTTTCTATAAAACTATGTAAATGCTTAGTTCATAGTGGGCTAGTAAAGATGCTGTTGGTTGCTCAGTAAAGCTATAGTTTACAGGCACCGCATAAAGAATTAGTATCAACCCATCCAAATCAAGAACTTATTTATCTATGTACAAAGGATTAAAAAACGAAACTGGCCTGAGCAACCAGTTGGCTCCATATTTAAAATCGTGGTGTAGGGACGACCCGAGAAGCAAATAAGAGCGGGATTTAAACCTGGGTTGTGGTCCACATTTCGAGACTGGCATTCTCAGTCCCCTGATCACACTGCCCCGTTCCCTTCTTGCAGGATGTGAATTGTGATATTGGACGCCTTTTCCTACGTAAGAACTTGCTATTAAATATTTGCGTCATTTCACAGCTACAGGCTTAACTTGTTTTCGCAGTGTGTAATAACTACGACACATTATTGCGAGGAGATATATCCAACCAGACTTTTGAAAACGTTACTACCGAACAGACCTCTTCCGTCAAGAAGTCTTTTTCTCTAAAGTAGCCAATATAAAACCTAAGAGTGCAACCATTACTTTTTCTTTTCTTCCTCCATTCTTCCTCCTTTCTGTTTCTTTTTCTCTTTTCCTTTTCCTTCGCTAAGTGTATTTTCGAACTTATTGAGCGCAAAAAGTCTGCCTTTTAGCCCTTTTTTATTCAAATCGCTGCACATTTCGTTAGTTTCGTTTTCAAAAAATCGGCTAGGTATAAATTGTTAGTTTACAGTTCTATTTTAACTCATGAATTCAGTACATATTTTGAAGAATTTTCTTCATGCCTTCCAAAATCTCCACTGCTGTTAAAACGCACCTTTGGCGCCAGCACTTTGTCATCAATTCCCAGCAGGCATCGCTGGAGTCTTTAGGACGTTCGGGATATATTTCCTTTTCAGCTGCCACCTTCATTGCCGCGATAGTGTTGTATCTCTCATAGGCCTTGGGACGATGGTTCCCAGACCCCTCGCAAAGCACCCACAGCAAGGTTCCAAAGGCATAGATGTCGTACGAGCGATCGCTTTCCAAGCTTTTACTATGGTTTCTGTACATCTCTAAGGAGATGTGAAAGGGCGTTCCCTGCTGTGTTTGCTCGAAAGGCTTCTTAGTTTTGGCCATGTTAATCTTAGCTGTGCCATTTCGGTTTAACTGCCGAAATCAACAGGATAATAAATATCAGTTGGCGTTAATTATTAGCAATTCTTTTCTTTTTGTAGTACAGCAGTATTACCTTGAAATTCCAGCATTCGTTTTATTGATTTCATCGCAAATGTCAATGCGTGTATGCATAAAAGAATGCCTCGTCACACTGGTGGTATAAAATTCTGTACAATTAAGCTTAAGTGCAGTATTTTCTTGTGGTTGCGTGCCTTGTCTCATTCTAGGTTTTGGCCAGTGGGTAAATTGTTAACGTAGCGTCATTCGAAAGAGTTCGTCCGCCTGTCCGTGTATAGTTCCATAGCTGATAATCCTCGCTACATTTGAATTTAGCAGTCTTTTACTATATATCTTTGCTTTCATTTCTGCAGTTCGAAAATGATACTTTAGGATGTTGTCTAATTTAGTCTTCCGCTAATTTTCAGAGGCTCGCTTTCTTCAGCCGTGATTGTACATGACTTTCAATTGTTGTCGCTTTCTCTCTTTCTTCGTTTTGTCTGTTGTTTACACATGCAAGTTCTCAGGTTATATGGAGAGGCAGTGCCAAACTCCTTTACCGTTGTAAGCTACCAAAGGATTATAAAGTAATATACTGGAATTGTTTTATTCTTTCTTGAATGTCTATCATTCGTTAGTAGCCCGTGAAATGCTTCCGATGCCCTGGATACTTACCAGGATGGAATCGACTTTAATGTCTTGATGGACATAGCTCACTCCGTGAAGAGCCACCAATCCGTTTGCCACGTCCTCTGCAATCTTTAGGCGTGCCTTCAAAGAAAGCCCCTGTTTAAGGGCGGTGGTCACATCTGAATCCGCCCTTTCCATTATTACGTTAATAACTCCAGGTTCAGGGAAGAGCCAACCATGCAGATAGAGAAGGTTACTGTGAGGTTCTTCTAACCTTGCCTGGACTTCCCTACATCGCGAAATAAACAGAACGAAAGGTTGTCAGTATCATTTTTGTGGAGCGTTCAGTTGTACAGATTATATGTCGCTTTACTTGAAAAGAAAACTGGCAAAAGTATTAAAGAAAGCTTGCTTTGCAGTCATAATCGCACTAGGGATTAACCGGCCGTTGTTCGTCACTTCACGACCTCCTACACCTACCTATAGCTTTTGTTTGCGACTAAAACTGCGTAGGTTCGGTAGCAAATTTGCCACTTTTTTGTTGTGAGAATGCCTCTCAAAAAGAAGTTTATGACTAGCCTAAAAGATTGATCAGGGCTGGGTTTGTGGCTGGAACGTAATTCTCAGATCGGAGCTGAAGGATCAGCTCCAGCCTGAGCCAAACTGAACGAGGAACGTACACTGCACCACACCAAGCTTGTGCCAACCCTACTTACATGGTGTCGAAAAGGTCCACTGAGGTCTGAGACCAGATCTCCGGCTTCACCTTTCCGCGTTCGATAACCTTCGCAACGCTTGCTTCTGGATGTGTCATATTCGCCCAGCCACAGCAGTCATGAAGTTGGCCGTGTTTTGTGGGTTTTAGAACCGGACCAAGTGTAATTGGACCTATGGCTACCCGAAAGTTAAGGGCGAAGGTTTGAACTGTTAGGAGACTCATTTTGGGAATGTACAGAGCCGCTATTTCCTCCAGTTTTTGGGAGACGTCGGCTAAAAAAACATCGTTTGTGACGCGGTTGTTCTTGATGACCTTAAGCAAGTCACTATGAATCATTTCGAGGCAATCTGCACAGGCTTTGCATAGTGACTCAGTAATTAGCTGGCGATTGAATTTGGAAAGAATTAGCTCGATGATTTTTCTTCTGGTTTGCTCATCCCCTAATATGAAGTTGGCTTCGGAGGATTTCCATTTCATTGCGTGAAATAATCCTTCAATGAGAAGCTTTGTGACGGCCTCTCTTAACTTCTTGCTGGCAAACGTGTAGATGAAATCAACCCCACTGAGTAAACTGTTCCTTTTTGGCCAATGCCCATAATGTAAATGAAATGCTTGGCGAATGACCAGATTATCGATCATTTTTGTGTGCATCTCAACAGGGACCTTTGCCTTCCTCATGAACTTGTTAAGAGAGCATCGTAAAACATTGAAAGTCCAGTCCTGTATCCCTCCATAAATGGTTATTAAGAATCGAAGAAAAGGAATGTCCTCCTTTTTTGGACTGAATGGGAGCTGGTGCTTGCAGTGATTCATCTTGACCAGATTTTTGAAGAAGAAAGTGCGTGCCTTTAATTCCTTTTCTGTGTTCTGCATCTTAGAACAAAGCTGATACTGATCTGCAACTGACATAAATCTTTCACGAAGACTCTGTAGGCTGCCATTTACAAGCTTTCCCATCGGGTCTTTGTTTGCAATAGTTGACATCAGTTTGTCATGCAAAGATTTTCCTATACTTGTGGCCTTGTCTAATTCCAAAGAGATTGCAGATAAGGTTCCTGGAAGATTGTTGCTTGTTCTTCTCCTCATAGCCTGGAAAATGCTTATCTGTAAGACAAGGAGCTTCTCCACGGCATGTATACTCCGGCTCCTGATATTTTCGCTTAGAAAAGCCAACAGCCCGTCTTCAAATTCTGCAAAGGCCTCTCTCGCCTTGCTGTTATTCCTATGTTCTCTTCTGTCTCTTCGAGTGTCTTTCGCTGAAATTCCGAAAAAGCGGGATCCCTTGTCACTGTCAACTAGGAGACCGTGTTCCTTCAGCTGGGAAAAGACAGTGGTTCCCTTGGTTTCGCTAGTTTCCTCATCCGGTCTCATTCGTGTTTCTTCGTCGTCGGAATCGAGGTCGTCCCCGCTTCCGCTGTCGAACGTTTTTGTCTCGGCAGACGTGTCTACCTTGTTGCAGACGAACATAAATGACAAATGCGGATATTTATCTTGCAAGAAACGGATTGTGTCAAGATCCTGAAAGAAATAAATTGTGTAGACCCGTTTAGTCGTAAACTTGGAAAAAGGTATGAAAAAGAGATATTATACCGGGGGCTAGTACAACGATTGTATCAGGGGTACCCACAAGTCGAACTCCTATCCCCGAGTAAGGGATGCAAGGAAGTCTTCGTGTCGTTCAGGTGTGTATATTGGTATCGCTTAGTATTTTTAGAACAAAACATTAATAGTACTACCTAGGGCACGGGCTGTGCGTTAAGAAATAAAAGAAGCGAAGCAGAAAAAAGCATTCGATGACAACTTCATCATTGTAACTAAAACTACTATAAATGTTCTTTATTAGCTGTTTGATGATTACGATGGCATTTTTCAGGGGTCAGACAAAGCTTGAGCCAGGACCAGATTGGTTTCCTCTATGGGTTTGATTCAATTCCAATTATCCGAATTGCATCCTGCGTTCTTGGAGTAATATCCAGGGCTTAAACCCTTCTCCATTTTCAAATTATCAAGCATTAGTTATAAGTAAAATTTTGCCAGCCCCATAACGAACGCAAGTTTCATCTTAAACATTTCTAACCCTGGCTGCCTGGCTCCTCAGGGAGCACCTAAATCTTGTTAAATACTCCCTTTATGACTGTCAATATATACCACAGTGGTCACAGCTTCGAGGCATTTTTCATTACTGAATAATGTCTATGAGAAGAATGGGTCACAGATGAGAACGTCAACTGTGGTAAGAACATCGCCACGTATTTTTTTCTTCAGTATCCAGATGTGACCAGGCAAGTACCATGAAGCACCCGGAAGTCACGATTTTTTTTAAGTTTGCTTTTTGAGATAACCGCGTTCCTTAGCCGTGTTATTGATGATTTAATTTCTTGTTTTTTCGACAACTCAGATCAGTTGTTTTAAACAACCTAAAAAACAGAATTGACAGCTTCTCGCCCATCTTATTGTACATTCCGCCTGGGTCTTTAAACAATCCGAAAATATGATAATTACTTAGACCTCGACATATCGTCATTTGCATACTTACTTCACTCGAGATAAACGGGCATATAAATTGGATTTATTGACTCAACAGTGAAGCTTATACTTACTGATGACCTCAAATGCTCGTTTCCATCGATGATATACACCACAAAAGGAGTGGTTTCTTTCTCAAAGAAGTCATCTATCACTTCATCTAGAGCGTCATTTTCATTCCTGCCCGGTGAGTCGATTAATTCTATGCCACTTTCTAGAAATGGATGATTCAAGGCAATTTCGACACTGCACTTTAGCTGATCTGACTTCTCCCTGCCCTCATCGCAAACCACTACATAACCTTGAGGAACTCTCTTGCCGATCGTAATCGACGATTTAGCTACTTGCCCACTTTTGTCGACAACTCTGACTGTGTTTTTACCCGGGGTGTAGCTGATCTTGACAATACGCGAAGTGCACGGTGTTTCGTGCACGGGAAGGTAAGATCCACCCAAAATCTCGTTCAAAACAGCACTTTTTCCGCAGTTTCGATTTCCAATAAAAACTACGGTTGGTCTTTTGTTCAAGGCGCGTTTTATCTCTTCCGCAGTCGTTGACGTATTTATACTTGCAATTGCTTCGTCACTCATTATTTCTTGATCTTTCATTTCTTCTAAGTACTGTTTGGTCTCGTTGAGTACTGTGGTTGCTTTTTCAGAACACAGTTTTAACTCCTCGATGGTCTCCAATTTTTTCTGCATTTTATGTCTTTTTGTGAAAGAAGGAAGCTCGCCTCTCACATACCGACAATCTGTTAAGTTTGATAGAGTGAGTGTAATTGAAAGCGCATCTGACCGTGGAAACATTCACGATAAAAGGTACTTAAAATTGAATAGAAAGGAGTCATGACTATTCATTTCCGTGAAAGCCTGAAATAGAAAATTAACAGTCTAGTGATTATCATCTCGCTGGCAGGTTTTTGCTCTTTGCATTTACAATTCAAGAAAGCCAAAAGTCAAGAATGAATGCAAATCAGTATAACTACCCATACACTCCACGCAAAATTTTGGATTTTGAAAGCAACAGTATACTCCAGCCGTGCACAGACAGCATACAGTACGCTCACGAGTATATGAACATTAAGGACTGGTGGGGTAGTTGCTTCCTAGTACATTTTCAAGACTGGATTGACTATAATGGGGTTGCATTTTCAATAGAATTACTAGAATAGGATCGCACATTTTCGGGACTTTGGGGGTGTGAAAATTCAGCTAGGTAGGGATTCAAAAATGGGAAGATTTTTACTACATTAAGTTTAACAAATTTCAATTCATTTCAGGGTGACCTAGTTTAAATGCTTTAGAAGGTAAATGCCTAAACAAAAAGTGGCTATTATGAGTTGGGATCGCGAAAATTACATTTTCCCAAGAGTGAGTAATATGGGGTCTATAATTGGCCACAGAAAAGGGTTTGTTGTGTCGTTCTTCGCATGAAGTGCTGACAAAAATAGCGGCTCGGTTGCTCGAGGTAAGACGTCGTCTTCCTGTATCATTCTTTTTCCTGTTTACTTGAAACGTACAATTTCTGCAAACATTTCCTTTTAAATTTGTTTGTCATAAATAAACTTTGATTTTTGAGCCAAAATTTTCTTGTTAGAAAACGCTGAGTTCACGAAACGGCTTCTTCTACGCGAATACACGGGAGTTGTAAACAATCCACTGAGCACAAAACTCAGCTACAGTAAATCGAAAAACGCCGTATTGAATGTTTCCAAGTCTTTTCTTGCCTTAAAAAAGTCAGCCCTAGGATTTTGTGGACTTTTAAAAGATCGTTCTCTAAAAAAAGTGGGAAAAACACCGAGCTCACACATGCATTATCCACTCGCTAGGAGGTGAATATTGTTGAATAGTTCGAGATAGCGAACCAATCAGATTGCTAAATCACCAAGATCACTGAGTGTGTATATACTAAAATGGGATAGGGGTGCTAAGTAAGCCAGCGGCACATACCCAGCAAAAATCAACCCAAGTAGCCCCCTGGGATTAAGGATATGCTTATCAATATGAGACAAATATTGTAAACAAGGACTCGCTGATAAGCTTTCTCTTAAGGCTAAGGCAAGACTATACTAAATACCCTCGTGGGTAATTGTCTGGTTTTCGGCCAGATAAGCTTGCTATTTTAGTAAAGACTGTCATTGCTCAAACGGTATACCGAGGGGCAAATTCCGCGCTCACTGAGTCGTTGTATTTGATCCTCTGAAAGTTGTTCCTCAAGTAAACAGAATGTTTTGACTGTCTAACCATTATCTAGGTAAACTAAAAAACTTGACTAACTTCTTCGGTTCTTGACGCATTTTCTTTGAGCTCCCGCACTCAGTTGCTACTAGTTCAAAGTTTTCTGATCCAGGTTTTTTTCCTCATAAAACCTCTGTTGACACATATCTAATGTAATAAATCCCCAGAACGCCTTCATTTTCAGAACGCCCTTATTCTCGATGTTTCTTTAACAGGAACGTTGTTACTGGTCGTTCTAAACATTTCTCCGTTTCTGTTTGGTCTACCGGCTGATTCTTTAATGTACTTTAATTTTTAAATAAATCACCGAGAATTGGATTGGGTTGCCGAGGTCGGGGATCTCCTCTTGTCCCGATTCAAGCCAATCGTTTCATGGGGCACTCGGAAATATATCGACAACCTTGAATTAAAGTATAAGAAAATAATACGAGAACGCAAACTATCTGCCTCAGCTGACGGAAAAACAACGTCTCGTATTCAGCGTATTGCATGGTTACGCCGTGCCCCTGGACAGGCTATGGAAAGCCTTTTTTTCAATGGGGAAGTGTTGAGACTAAACAATTACATCTTGCATTACATTTTTTCACTATGATGACGTGAAAATAAATCGTATGCCATGTACTGATGAAACAAATAAATGTTGATGTGACCTTGGCGGTTTAATAGTCGAACTAAGTGGCTGAAAAATTACACGAAAAAGTTTTTTTCGTTCATCAATTTTCGCCTTGTTTTTCAGTCTCCTAGGGTGATAGTAAAACTGCAAAGATCACACTCAAATTCATTGAGGTATCTTTTTTAACCACTCTTTTGTGTAATTTCTCTCAGTTAATCACACCGAAGTTTCCTGTCGTTGTTAAAGTCGGACATGCAAATGGAGGCTACGGAAAGGTATGAAATTAATGTGGTTTAAATTCGAATTTGATTAAAGGTCTTTGAAATAGTTGAATATCTAATCTTATTATGATATTGATTAAATAAATATTCAACAAATCTGAGACATTGCGCTCAAATCTTCAAACCCTGCAGCCATATTCACTGGTGATGCGTCGGAATGGAAATTGTACGTACAGTAACTAGCCCGCGACTGAATACCGACAGCCGCCTCTCCTCTTCCCTCGCCGGTAGGGACGTTTCACGGGAGAGACTCATGAATAGCGGCATGCAACTGTACCGTTCATGGGTTCGATTTTTTTAATGCAAAACTATTTCAGAAGCAAGCTTATGTTTATTTTCCGTATTCTTAATCAAGAGAGATCTCGTCTCAAAACCACAATTGCATGCTATGGCCTGCCATAGCCTGCGGTGCAGCCGGCCCACGTATCGCATATAGCGTGGATATAGTCCGTCTATAAACAAGGTTTAAAGTGTCTGCGCGCAGGCTAGCCCTGCCAATCTTTTTACCATGTTATTTTGCATTATAGGGAAATTCACTAATTTACTAATAATTACGACATCTCTTAGAGAATTCTCGAGTCCATAGACAAGACCTCATTTTCATTCCATAACAATATGTTTGCCGTTTTTGTGTTTATATTCACTGAATATTTCAAGACAAAACATTTGAGCTTCCTGTTAAGAATTGCCTGCTACTTAGAGGCGGAAAGACCCCTAAGCAAGTTTTAATTTATACTTTCCGAAAATGTGATAATTCAGTGGTACGCCATGGTTATATTTACTAGATTTACGGAATTAAGGTTCCTTCCTGTTTCCAACTTACAAGATAAATATAACCAATTGAATTAACAATTTCACAACTTCCCGAAAATGTGATAATTCATTAAGTATGTCTGGAATTCCACTTTCAGAAGTCTGCCACAAAAATGTTCTTTCCTGTTACCTAGCTTAGAGGCACAGTAATTCAAGTTCCTTTCTAAAAAGCAGATAGAGTATTTTTCGCCCCTTTTAGTTTAAATAGCTTTCAGACCTACTGTAGATAGTAGACAACACATCCACTCTATAACATAAAACGTACAACGCATCGCATAAGCCCTGTTTGAATGTTTGTATAGTATATGACCACGCAATCAGACCCTGACTAGCTGTCCTTGACGAATTTCACGAATCGGAAATAAACCCACTCAATTAAAACACTTTTGCGAGTGTCTAAAGAATGTGTCTGAAAATGCATCTCTGCGACGAATAGTCTTACTTTTTTAGGTACTCCTATGTGGGTTTACCGCTAAGGCAAGACAAAGAATAATACTAAGACCTAAAATCGTCATTCCTCTTGCCGTTGTTTTTGTTGTTGTTGTTGTTGCTGCTGTTGTTGTGTTCGTTTTTAGCGCAATTGACTTGTCATTCAGACCAGTAAAGCCGGGGATCACGAACGTATTCTACATAGTATGGGTAAAACAAAAATGGTAATCGTTTTGCTAATCACGGTAGCCAATCCGGAGGCGCAGAGCTTTACTGTCTGTCATTATTCTTCACGGTTGTCTTTTTAGGTTTGTGTCCACAATCATCGCAGTTTCCAGGATATCGCGAGTATTGTTGCTCTGTCAGATACTTACGCCACGACGGAGCCCTTCATTCCTGGCAAATGTGATGTAAGGATTCAAAAGATTGGCACTCATTATAGGGCCTTCAAGTAAGTTCTTGATCGGTTAGAGTAGGATGTGGTTGTGCCTGGTAAGGGTCTGGGAACGGGCGAGGGACCACATGTGATGTGAACCAAACACTAAAATGAAGCTTTCCCTTCCCCATCCCCTGCACGCAATATTGTGCCACTCACAATTCGACTGAGCTACCTGTGGGAAACAACAAACACCCCAAATTTGAATTGAGGGGTGGGGAGGGGTGTAGATTGTTTTGTTCTTCGAAGTTACTCCATTTGATGACAGTGTCTCAACAATTTTGTAGCCGATTCGTTAACGATTCTTAGTAATCACCCAACAGTTTTTCAAACCCTGTGACGATGCATTTTTTGTAAAAAAAAAAAAAAAAATACTTTCACCTCTGTTTTAAGTTGGTTTTATCAACTACATTGAGATACTCTGCCAATCAAACTTGTAAAATGCACGTATGATACATTTACTAATCAATGTGTATATTTTCTATTGTATGCGTAGGAGAACTTCAATTTCCGACAACTGGAAAACAAATACTGGGTCAGCGGTATTGGAGGAAATTGAAATTACAGATAGGTAGCGATAAAATCCATTTTTTTAAGCTGTTTCTTAGTCGTTTTTTATCTTAATGTTTTCTCATTTAAAGAAGCCTTCCGTTATTCTCACGTTTTCTTTACCCCTGTTATACTTCACTTATACCCAAGTGTTTTATTTCCAATGCAACGTCAACTTATTTTTCAGCGTCTTTGTCACCGGCCACGTTTTGCAAGTTTTTCTCCGTCTGCAACAATTTTTCCATGCAAACTGTACATTCAAGTGACCAGTTTCTCCAAGCACGCCACCATCAACAATATTGCTTTCCCGAACCTGGAAACTCGTAGATGTCAGTGGACAAGAGAGAATAAATTAGAATTATTGTCTTCTCTTCAGAAAAGTAGTGATGCTGATTGCAGCT